CTACTTTGTTGTACTATTGATCGCAATTGACAGGTGTTCCTGCACCATAGAGGTGTTTTCGGTCGTTAGAGCCATTTAATGCATCTATTGCCTTTGGGTTTTTTTCAAATCATTCCTTATATACTCTCAAATGATTGTGCAAAGTCCGAGAGCAATCGGGCAAGTGCAAAGAATTGCTCAGCGCTGCCGGCGCATCAAATGAGGTGTTCTCAAGCTCATCTCTGTAATTCCAAGCCTCCCGTTGGTCATTTCAGGCCGGGTAAAGACGAGCAATATATTATTAAGTATCTAAATCGTATTCGATACACGCTTTGCTATTCCGGGCTTGCAATGGATGTGAGCGAGAGGAATTACATGTGTGGTCACAATTGTCACACTGACACAGTGATGACAGTGTGATGGCCAAACCGGCAATTGATCTTGTGCTCCCCGAGTCGCATCAACACTCACAGAAGAAAGAATATAAGTGTGAAGTAGATACATTACATGTATTGACAACATGTGAGAGGTGCTAGACCCAGGTGGAAAGGTCCTCGAGCCATTAGTAGGTGTATAGTTTTATAAGTGTGATGTATAATGTGGATTTCAAGTCCATTGGAAACCAGATGTGTATGGTACAGGAGGCAGGAGTGAGAAAGTCGAAAAAGGATCCAAAACCAATGCGTAAGGTAGCGTAGGCTGCTGAGGAGCCAAGGACGGAGCAATCAGAGGTTGAGATGATGGGCCAGGAATAGGTTCCGACGCCAGACACACATGGCTGTCAATCAATGTGTTTGATGCGCGGAGCTTGAATTGTCACGCTTTGGCTGATCACCCTTGCTCACATCCATTGCAAGCCCGGAATAGCAAAGCGTGTATAGAATACAATTTAGATACTTAATAATATATTGCTCGTCTTTACCTGGCCTGAAATGACCAACAGGAGGCTTGGAATTACAGAGATGAGCTTGAGAACACCTCATTTGATGTGCCGGCAGCGCCGAGCAATTCTTTGCACTTGCCCGATTGCTCTCGGACTTTGCACAATCATTTGAGAGTATATAAGGAATGATTTGAAAAAAACCCAAAGGCAATAGATGCATTAAATGGCTCTAACGACCGAAAACACCTCTATGGTGCAGAAACACCTGTCAGTTGCGATCAATAGTATTCTCCAGTCTTTGAATTGACTTCTCTTTGTGACATTATTTCTTGTTGATTGTCACAAAATACATAATATTATAATGCCTGGCTTTCTTCCCTATCTTACAAGGCTGTTGTCTACAAGAATGTCAGCCCACACTCAGTGAATTCAACCAGTGTACCCACCATATCACAACCTGTCTCCACTAGGTACCAGAGCAAGGGGTCTGCTGTTTACTGGCAAGATCCAAATGACACATTGGACCGTATCCACTGTGACTGTTGAGTTTCTGCCAGTGAATGTAAGGGTGTGTATCTGGTTTTGAGAAGTGACAAACCTTGACTGCTTGGACCTGTGTTTGAAGCAGTAGAATATTCATGCTAGTTGATAATAGATAGAATCAACTGATGAACAGTTAATCAGTCAATGAACTGCATAGATGATAGCATCACTCACATGACTAAGTCAGATGTCTTAATAGACCTATGCAGTTAAGTGACAAGAAGATAAGATAAGATAAGTAGAGCAGATAGGGAGTAAATCAGCTGACCAGAGGAGGCTGTGAAGCAACAAGACAGTGGAAGCAACTGTAGTGGTCAAAAGCAAGAGGGGGATCAGAAATATTTGATAAGGCCAGTCTTATAAGGTAGTGCTGATCCATCCTCGACAAACATCACATGGTGATGTGTGACTTTAGCCCACTTGGGATGACCTAAACTGTAAGCTGGGTAGAATAGTTTCAAATCATAAATGGATCAAACTGTGCAAGGAAAACGACCAAAATTATCCTTAGTTGTTGTAGTTTCAGTCCTAGGAAAATTGAATTAGATCTGCCGGATCAGTCTCAAAAACATTGCTCTGGCCTGCCCAAATCCATGCTGCCCCGCACCAAATTGAGGCGGCAACAGGTCTTTCACCTGAAGAAGAACATTAGAAAACGTGATTATGAGCAGGTTAGCCACAAGAACATGCAAAAACGGTGTTTGCCAAGGAGGATATACAAGGAGAACATCCCAGTGCGCAGATCACCTTTACACAGTATTGCTGACACCCAGACTCAAAAGAAATGCAACATAAAGAGCAAGGAGGAGGATTTCAATGTGACTTCAATCAATCAAGACGTGTTTAGCAACCCATTTGACGCATCAGACACATGTGCTGATCACGACCACCTATCAGAGTGCAATGCATCTCTATCATCAGAAACTTTGATCAATCTATTCCTCGTGAATTTCCAAGTTGAGGGGCTGACAGAATGCTTGACCACCACGCTGGAAACATGTGGTATGGTCTGGAAACTGCCCGAGCTGTTGGCAACTACACCCTTGCATCATGATATCTATCTTTGGCTGGCTGCCCCGCGTTCATTTCTGGAACAGGCTTGCAAACAAGCCATGCAGCCAGGCACGCTGCACCAGGCTCCCAATCTTGTCAAAGCAAAGATGGCTTTGGATGCTGTGACTAACTATCTGCGTGGGGAACTCTGAGGTAATCAGGCTGATCTATTCGGACTGTAAGGCGCCAGGTACAAGAAACAAGAGATTAATGACTTTATGTGGAATCGACTGTCTGGAATCCAGTTGATGCTGAGTTTCTATACAAGGCTGGAGCTGTTGGAGACATATGGTCAATGGGGAGTGTCTGCACGCTTTGCAGCTGCCAGTTTAAATTGGGGAGTGCACTGTGCCCGTGTACTTGTGGCCCTCAGCTGCCAATGCATCCTCAATTGTGAGGTCTTGGATGTCAATCCTTATGGCAAGTGGACCACAAGCATGCTGTCAGACAAGGACTTGGCCAACAACATGCAACTCTATCTGCAGTCGCTTGGGACAGGGATCACTGCTGAGAAGCTGCAGACATGGTTGACTGATCCTGACATTCAGATTGAACATGGGATGACCACCAAAGTTAGTCTGGCTACGGCAACAGAATACCTTGATGAGCTTGGATACAGGTCAGCTTTTGTCTGCTGCCAATGTTCCTTCAGCTCATCATTCCTTCAACCAGGTACACGAAGGCCAAGAAAGGGCAATATGTTGATGGCCACAAGCGTGCTGACATTGTGTACTATTGGGACAATGTCTACCTCCCACAACTGTCCAACCTGCATAAGCGCGTCCTTGTTTTTGATAATAACAGGAATGCTGTGGTCAATGACACAACAACTCCGGGTTGGTGTGTTGTCATTTGGTACCATGACAAGAGTATATTCTATGCGCATGATTGGAAGCACAAGTCCTGGTATCACAAGGACAACACTGATAAGCCATATCAGACAGAAGAGGGCTATTTTTTCATGGTTGCCAATTACTTCTCATCCAACTTTGGCTGGCTACGTGATCTGGACAACAAATCCCGGAATGCTTGCTGGTGTATGCATCCAGGGAAGAACTGTGATGGGTACTTCACATCTGACAAGGTACTCGAGCAAGCATCTGCAGCTTGCAATCTTGCAAATGAGCTCTGGCTAGACTATGACCATGTCTTTGTGTATGACAACACTACCACGCACAAGAAACAGCCCAAGGGATTGCTCTCAGCACGTTCCATGCCAAAAGGACCGTTGGGCACATGCAGTAGCAAGGAAGATGCCAATTCTCTAGTTGAGGTCAACAAGAAGGACAAAACTGGGAAACCTGTCTACAACACATAGGGCAATCTTGTCAAGGAGCGCATAAAGATGATGGACACACATTTTAACAGGCATCCACAAGATCTGTACTTTCCAGATGATCATCCAAAACATCCAGGGAAGTTCAAAGGGATGAAAACTATTGTGGAGGAGCATGGAATGCATGAGGAAGCAAAGTTGCCTTTGCAATGCGACAGATTCAAGTGTGTTGATCAGTCAGACACATCAAAATGCTGGCTTCGTTGAGTTGTCTACAACCTACCCGACTTTGTATCTGCAAAGACAATCCTCAAGATGGAGTGTGAGAAGAGGGGTGTCAAAATCTTGTTCTTACTAAAGTTCCATTGTGAACTTAATCCCATCGAGTTGGTCTGGGGTTATGCAAAGCGCCTTTACTGATTGAAGTCTGAGTCCTCCCATGAAGATGAACTGGAGAAGAACACCATGGAAGCTCTTGATGCTGTCCCACTTCTCTCTATGTGACAGTAAGCTTTCTCAAGGTCTTAACTCAGGTGATTGATTCAAATGCCAGATTTGCAAACCATTGCCATTGCTTGGGTGATGCATATCTAAACCACAAGCTGACTTGACCTCAAATGGCTTGGGCCTCGAAGAAATATGCAGGCCATAGGACCTTCCCTGCATTGATTTTGGAGGAGCTCAATGAAGCAGGCATCCACTAATACAGTGTGCGCAAAACTATATTGCAACACGTGCCCATATTGCTCTAATTTTTTGGTAAATCTTTTTTTTGAATGTTTATGCACATCCTCCTTGAGGGGATTAGTCTACTCTAGCTCCGTTGTCTCAATACTACTTGGTTCTCTTGCCATCAACTGTGATTGACGAAAGCAGACGTGTGACCATAAGACCACATGACGTTTGTCGAGGATGGATCAGGACTACCTTATATGTTTGAGAGGTGGCAGTGCCTGGTCACATGATCAGGTGCATGTGATCTTATCTTCAATTTCCCTGTCCATTTTTTCACACTGGTGAAACTGACTAGTTTTAGCTTAAAAGGGCTTTGCTTGATCCAAGAGACAATCAGAAAGTAAGATCCTTGACCTGCAGCCAGCTCAATCATGAACAACTGCGGCCTATTGTCAGACACCGCATGCCCCACCAAAGACACACACACCTTGAGCATATACAAACCAGGCTGCACAACAAATACATTTCTCGTCTTAGTGATTTCCTCTGCCACAAATCCTTTCCATCACTGAGGCTCCAGCCCTGGAGCCAACAAGCATAGAAGCACGATCAAATTTGAGTAGGGAACAATTGTCTTTTTCAAAACTTGGGCTACTATGACACTCAAGGGACCCGCTCATTCTGAGGTGGGTATAATCATCTAATAGAAACATAACCACTAATGCAGGCATCAAGTCAACAAGACTTGCCCGTAATAAACTTAGCCAGTTCTACCCTTGGACGCGCAGCTGTGTGTTGCTGTTGTCATGGTCCGCCATGAAATCTGAGCTTGCTTTGGGCAGAGGGGCCCAACTGCATGCTGGCCAGTGACAGGCATTCCCAACGCAGGACTAGGGAAGATTGACATCAAGCCCACCTAACAGACAGTGCAGTATGTGGGTGGCTACCGCAAAGGCTGTCTCAGAAATGCCTTCAATAACCAGTGCAATGGGGCTTTGGTCATGATTGTGAGTATCCTAGTTAGGTGTCAGAAGTGATTGGCCTCTCTTATACAAAAGGGCAATTGGCCACCGAATTGGATTGGCCCAATTTGCAGCACAACAGCTTGCTAGTACGAGGGCAAAGTGGGTCCCAGAGTTGATCCCTTGTGTCATGGATTGTGGGCACAACAAAAGGCTTGACACAATCTTAAATAAGTACATTTTTTACTTATTTAAATATGCCGTGAAGCAGCTGCTATCAGAATGGAACATCATGACTCATCATCAGTGAGTCATCTGTGATGCTGAAGGCCTTGCGCGTTTTGTGGTTCTGAAACGCATGAGGGATTCATGTTTTGATGAATCCAAAACACTAGCTAGATAGTATAAAAGCAGAGTCCCTCCTGCTGTGAGGGACATCTTACTTTTGATTCAAATCCACTACCTGCTCACAGTACTTAGTGCACCCTGTGCCTAATTATTGTCCAACCTAGTCTTAGTTGTACTTGAATTGCTAGATTCTAGTACCTCAAGACTTATATTCTTACTCTTCTATAAGAATATACCCCGACTTTGCAGCTATCTTGCTAGAGCTTGCTGCTTTGTTGGTTAAGTGCTCATTTTGCCAAACTTGAACGCACCCTTTGTGTTGCCAGACTCAAATGTTTCAAATATCACTCAGTAATTTGCTTTATTGAGTTTCGTTAGAATGGTAGTAGAGCTACCGAGGGTAGAGAACAGTGAGATCCAGTATTTGGACTCAAAGTGCGTCAATTTATTGAATTTAAATTACTAAGCTATTTTGTAGAATCCTGCGAAATAGCTATATCCGTAACACCTTGTGAAAGACCAAGGGATGAATTCACATATTGTCTTGCCATTCGATCAGGCTGGATCGCCGATCAGGGCGCGTCAACAGTCGTAGATTCATCGATCCGTGAGCAAATCCGTGGTCAGAACAACGATTACGATGGCAGGTACATTCATGTTTTCTTGGCTCGAGCGCCAAAGACGCCCGTCCCGACTCTGACTATGTCACTCCCGGCTTTGAGAGCAGCTTCGAAGTCGCTGGACATGCCCATGCTCAACAGCAGACGGCCGTTGCCATCAGCACCCCAGCCACTCAGCCCAAACTCCCTCTCAAGCACCCCCGATAACACATCCCGTGTGCGCACCAGTCGATCGAAGTCGGCGTTCTGGTCACCCGCACTGAGCGACTGCTCGATGGCACCGATCGTCATGAGACCCTGAAGCCGTAGCTTTGGGCACGTCGAGATGATGTGCTTGGCTAGTTGTGTGAGCTCGGCGTCGGCGTCGGCGTCTGATGCATCGAGTGGGTTGAGGCCGGACTTTGAGTCTTCGCCGGAAGTGTTCACCTGAATGAGGATGTTTAGCGGCTCGGACCGCTCGTCCGGCAGAAGCTTGTTGAGAGCTGTGGCTGTTTTCGCGGACGTAAGAGTTTGGATCGAGTACAGGTTGGGGATGGCTGCAAGAGATCAGATCTGTGCTCAGAGCCTGCTATGCGTATGTCACTGGCGCTCACCGGCTAGGATCTTCGCTTTATTGGATTGCAGGGTGCCGATGAAGTGCCATCTGATATCTGCAGGAAGCTGGGCTCGTGCAAGTCAGCTGGGATCGAGGGTGCCCACGCGACCCCTCACCTCCTTCGCCTTGTCCTCCAACTCCTGCACGTAGTTTTCTCCGAAGTCGAGCTGCCCCAGCTCATAACACGACTGAATGTCGGATGCGGGTTTGTACTTTGATACGGCAACAAGAGTGGGGGTGCTCGTGGGCTTCGTAACGTCTTGCACCCGTGCGCGGATCTCAGCCAGCGATTCCGCGAGCTCGGTTTTTCTTTCGGTCGTCGACATGAAGCGGAGGTAGATTGATTGAACGCGCGAGAAAGATGCGAGTGAGTGCCTAAGAAGGCTTTTTTGCATCCACGGTGGATGATCTTGCACCGAGAGCACCAAGAATTTGGAGAAGAATTGCTCTATGACGTAGCGATTATCGCATAAGCAACCTCTACCGCTGTCGCACGTGTAACGTCAAGCAAGGAAGATGCATGCCATGGCCGCTCACAAGACCGGCTGGACCAGGACTTTGGTGGCCTCATTGACAATTAGAGCTTTGCCGGCATACAACGTTTTCTATTTGTGAACCCCAGACCAATCCAGACAATGGTCACATGGAGGGAACAAATCGGAATGTTCGAGTTCGTCCAATCGGGACCAAATAAAGATTGTTTGGGGGGTGGCTTAAGCGTCCGATCCGCTTTCAAACAGCAACAACATCCATTCTCATTTATGCACCTGCCCCCCACTGACAGGCCGCCACCATGGTTTGTGCGGCGTGAGCATGTAAAAGCTTTAACTGATGCTTCCCTAGTCCGACCACTCATACGGCCGTAACCGCGACTCAATGGCCGACATTGAACTTAGCCTGAACAACGCCTTCGCCGAACACCCGAAAGCCACCATTTCGGAAGATGGTACCCCCAGCATCCCGGCAGACGCGCTGGCCGACGTCTTTCGCTCGCTCGCCGCCACGTTCGGGGGAGTCGAGCTGATGTCCGAAGATGAGATGCAGATGCTGCAGGCGCTGGTGGTCGCGAACCCGGGGATCGAGGTCACGCCCCAGCTCACGCTTGGCTTCATTGCGGCGAAGACAAAACACTCGACGCCCCCACATACCCCCGACGCGCTCGACAACGACGAAGAAATGCAGGTGGAAGACGAGCTCCGGGGGCGCGGCGAGGGACGAGATTACGACGCGCGCTCGCGCTCGTCGAGTAGAGACTCTGTCGGCACGCACCGGAACCACAGCCGGCCCCCCTCGCGCGGCGGCCCACAAACCCCGGTGTCCGCCGCTTCTCCCTTCGACACCTCGCGGCGGCAGCGCTCAACCCCACTCGGTGGCACCGCACCCTCGAGCTGGGCTTCTCAGAAGCGTCCGCCCCATCACCGGCGGAAGAGTGATGCAGGAAGCAGAAGCGACTCGGAGGTTCGTCCGCTTTGATCACCTCGTTTTTAGCGCTAACTTTTTGCTGCAGTCTTCCGCCGGTCCCAGTGCCTATGGCAACCGACCTGGGGGTAGAAGCCGAGCGCCCTCAAATCCCACGTCGCCCTCGATGGACTCGTCCTTTTCCATCGGCTCGCCTCCCATGGGTGCCCGTTCTCGGCCCCCCTCGCGCGGGGGCAATCACCGGTTTGACGATGCGGATGAGTACGACTTCACTCTCCGCCAGGGCCTCAACTCGCTCCCCATGCCCCATGCCAATGACGATGGCTCGGACAGCGATGACGAACATGCAGGGGATATGGTCATTCCGCGATCGACGACCTCGAGCAACGTCAGCTTGATGCCGGATGAGCAAATGGAGGCTTTGCAGCGCGCCAACGCGGACCTCATGCGCAAGCTTGCGGAAACGGAACGGCTGATGCAGCGAAAGCTGGCAGAACACGAAGCTGAATTTGAAGATCTGCAGTTCACGCTCGAGGAAACACGCAACGAGCTGAGTGCAGCCAAGCGGGAGGAGAAGGAGCTCCGAGGAAAGGAGGTGCGGCAGTCTGGCCTTCGTGTTTCTGCTCATTGCTGACACATTCCATCAGCGATCCACCGCAGCGCAGATAGCTGCCTTGGAAGCCGACGTGGTGAAAGTCTCGAAACAGCTGGAAACATCCAAAGCAACCTACAATAACCTGCACCGTCAGTATGCTGACCAACTGGCGTCCACCCAAAAGTACCGCGAGGATCTGCGTGAGCGAGATGACGTCGCTCGGACTTTACGTGAACAGGCTGCGCTATCAAACATCGAGATCCAGCGGTACATCAAAGAGGCTGAAGCTTACGAGGACCGAATCGCGCATCTGGAGCAGGAGCTGGTTGTCGCGAACCAGGCTCACGTACAGCTAGATGAACAGAAGCAGGAGAACATGCTGCTGAAGGAGACGATCGATCGGATGCGGTACGACTTGGACGAGATGCGCAGCAACAGCGCGATCCTCGGAGGAACGCCGAGCGGCCAGAGCAGCGCACCCAGCAGTATTAGCAAGAGCCTCGGCGCCGAGTTGTTGGGCAAGATGAAAGGCTGGGGCGGGATGGACGGCGAGAGTGAGAACGAAGACGATGAAGACGATGATTCGTCTACCCCGAAGGAGGATGAAGACACTGAGGGCGAGGACGTGATTCAGACGATCATTACGCGGAAGAAACGAGTGGGTGCTGCCTTGAGGAATATTTGTTTCTCGTCTGCTAACGTCCCGTTCAGAAGGTCACCAGCCGGGCGAACAAGATCGAGACGCGGACGTTTGAAGAAGTGAAAGACTATTCGGATACGGGAACTCAATATGAACCAGAACTCTTCTTCGTGTCTGGAGGCTCACAGACTGAGAAAGTCTTGACTGCGTCCACGATCATCCAAACCGAACCGACCATGGAACAGCCGCCTGCACCGCCCGCTGATACTGCGGAGATGGAAATCCAGACGGAGCCCGAGGAAGTCAAGGCTGCACCTGTCATACCCGGGCCAAGCTCTGTACCGATCGACGCGCCTCCTGCCTATGTCGCAAAAATCTGAATTGGCATATCTGTTATGGTCAGCGCTGATAGGTAGGGCTCAGGCCTTCAGCCTGATGACTGGCTGATCTCCGTAGGAAAGGTTGAATCAGTCGTCATCAGACGGTGATCAGACGTTGATCAGGGAATGGTCAGCAACGCATCAGGTGAGTATCGGACGTCAGTCAGGCGGGAATCAGCGGTTGATCAGAAAACTACCAGGCCCTGGTTTCAGCGGTGAAGACAAAAGGAGAATAGGCTTTCTTCCTTGCTCCATCTTCACTTTTTTACATTCACGTTTGGCACTGCATTTGAATAGGGTATCGCTTCACTTTCACTTGGATATTCAATTAATTTAATTAATTAATGTCACACTGTTATTCAGCCTTAATGATAATAATTTCACTCGATTTACTTCACAGTGGGAATCGAACGCGAGAACATGATCTACTAGACCACTACAGACCACTACACTATGTAGGCGCGTGTTGCACTGTGTGCTCCAGTGCTAAGTGTCGTCGGAGACTTAACACAGCCACTTGCATCATGATGACGCAAACCAGAACGACCCTTCCACTCGCAGCTCGCAGCGTACCAGCATCTTTCTACACAGGACTGTGAAGTTCAACATATCTCTCGACATCTTCCCAACAATATTGCCATTGGAACTTTGCGGTCTGCGCATCGCAACAAGCCAAGACCATATCCTCTGAGGTCCACCTTCGACGCTCAGCTGCAAGGACTCGGATACATTGGCAAGCGTCGCCATCAACGCAAACGAGCGGGCCGCCGGATGCATGTACAATGGGTATCACTCCAGCCGCCTGGCCCTGTGCGTCAGCGCTGCTGACCAAAGCGAAAGAGAAGAGAGAGAAGGCGACGTACCATGAACTCCATAACATTGATCCTGAAGTGTTCATCCAGCACGACCCAGCCAAGCGAGCACCTGCGAGTACGGTGCGTTCAGCACGAATTGCACATGGTTCTGTCCAGAATAGGCATCTGCCGATCATGACCGGCTGCACGCCCCGCGCAGCGTACTCCGGGCGGTTCTGCAGCAGTGAATGCAATGCGCGGAGCTGCATCGGAATCACGCGCTCCCTCCCCGCGAGCGGCAGCCGCGCCATCTCGCGCGTGTCGCATGAGGGGTACACGACGCGCGTGCGTACGGTCGCGGCGGGCCCGAACGGGGGTACGCGAGCACGATGTCGACGTGCCGATTCGTCCAGCCCGAGTTGACCAGCACGGCACTCACGCGGCGCAGCGTGAGCGCGTAAAGCAGCATGAACGCGTGATAGTACGCGCGCTTTGAAGAATCCGAGTGAACGTGTATTGAACACGAACAACGACCTCGTCGCCCTCTGAAGCGTCGACTTCCTGTTGAAGATCGCTCCAACCAATCTTGATTCTCACTGGGTTTTCGGTGCGCCATGGGACTACGGGGACAGTTGAGCTCTGATAGGCTGAAAAAATACAGAGAATGACGAGCTTTTCCGTAACTTCGATGTCCAACTCCGCTAATTCCTCGCCAACAAGTTTCCTGAGATGTACATGAGTGCGGAACTGTCTTTCAAGGCGAGTCCTTCGTCCACGATCGAGATTTGGGTAACTGATAGCAAAACTCAGGTCGAGAAATCCATTATCTGGTCGACACAGTTGATGCGGACATATTTTACGCTCTCTGAATGCGGTACAACATATATGTCATTGATCCGTAGCATTTCCCAAAGACATAGCCTTATTACAACTTATAATACCTGATCCCAAACTGACCAGAGGCTGACTCCCGTCTGAGCATACCTGACAAGATCTTACCGGCCTGACCACCGCCTGAGGATATGTGGTCAGGGTCTGACAACAAGCCGTCAGTTCAAATCAGCCGCATATCGGTCCGTCAGGACTGATCATAAATTAAACATTTTTGCGACATACAAGCAAGAGCTGTCCGCAGAGGAGCAGGCTGAGCACGACTGGCGTGTGACGGTCGCCACCCTGAAAAAGTACCACCCGGGAGCGCGCGTCGAGGAGGGTGTTCCGGGCGGCGTTTCGATGGATGCGCTGGAGGACTGGCGTGCGCTGAAAGAGGAGCTGGGTGTGTCGTGTAAGGTGGTGGACAAGATTTTGGAGAACTCGCTGTCGACTGGACTGCCTCGTGTGCCGACGGATGTGAACGCCCGCCGGCGGAGTGGCCGGTTCTACAACATCTACAACACGTACGTTTACGGCGGAGGATCGGCACACAGCAATGCGAACCCGTTGCCTGCGATTCCGTCGCCCTTCTTCTGGGTGGGCGGGACCGTGCTCGTGTTTCTGCTGATCGGCCCGTCGTTGATGATCCCGCACTACAGTGTGCCGGGTGGGCCGACGCACTACGATCGGGCGGTCTGGAATAGCTTCAACACGATGCACTATTCTGGGGAGGGCTTCTCGAATGACGGCGCTGACGCTGTCTGGAACTTCCTTGGCCGTGTCGGAGGCGGTGCCGTCCGACTCGCGCGAGGCTGGCCGTCCTGAACCGGCTGTACATTCTTTCACGATACCCCTTTCCACATTCATGTCTCTTTCCCTCTCCACCCAGCTCATGCATATTGTCATCAACACCCCTGATTGATACCTGCTCACCTTGCTTATGACGACTGACGATTCATGCTGACGACCCCCAATGTAACCTAACCCATCCACCCGCTGTTGTGTTATTGATGTATGGCTTATGGTACCTATACTTGTGCACCTGGACAATCTCCATAATTACCGTACCTTCATGTCGATTAATGCTCATGTCCTTTTCACAGGTCAGGTCGCCTTCTGCCCACCCAGGTCAGTCCCTCTCTGTATCCTCCTTGTCTTTTTGTTTTGTGGACCCTTGGCTGATGGTCGTTTACAGGCTTTGTAGATAGTCTGTACATAACATAGGCACAAACATCAGCACATTCTTTACAATGAATACCGATTTTCCTGTCGAATTTGGCTGGGTGCGAATGATTAGTACAGGGGACTATTGGCAAGAGCGGCGTAGGGACGACTGTTCAAACAGTCGAAAATGAAACGCTAGCGAAGCGACAAAATGGACTATACCGGAGTCGAACCGGTGACCTCCCGCATGGACGCGATGCTAAGCGGACGCGCTACCAACTGCGCTAACAGCCCGTATGAAGCACTCAAAAAGTAAACACTACAATTTTCAGCTGAGACGTGAAGCTTTAGAGTCACTACTCCCTGCAATAATTTGAGACTTTGCCTGGGCGTTTTCTGTCTCTAACCCCTTTCTGAAGAGTAAAAATGCTTCGAGAGGGTTTCCCCATCATAAGGCTGAAGTGCTTCGAGTCCGTTCATTCGTCAACCATTCCCAGTCTGCTCTGATACGAAGTCGTACGAATCCAGCGAGTAGGATTTCTCGTGTTGAGAAACATTCGCTGCCGGATCTCGAGTGAAAAGACGCTTTGATGTCGCACGATTGTCGAGGTCCTTTCTACCTTTTCTCTCTAGAGCTGGAGCAGTCAAACGACCCGAATCGTTGCCCTAGTCATGTCTACGGTAAAGAGCCGCTCACGATGCCATCAAATCGCGGCTGAAAGTAAGAGCTTACTGGCTGGGAATGCAATGCCTGCGCCGCAGCCACGGGGTTCGGGCTGGATGCGCTATGGGATAATACCATGGCATGCCTCTTCACTGCATGTAACAAATGTTGCGCACAAGAGCACTGAAGGGATGGACATTGGGAAGTAAGAGTCACCGTCTGCGTGAAAGGACTCTGACTTGAGCGAGAGCACCAGTCATAAGTGCCTCTGGAATGAAAGCCGACGCGCGCTCCGGGAGATCCTCATCGTCCCTTCTCTTCATGATCAGCCTGGAGATTGACAGCATAGGATGTAGGAGACTATGGTTGTGAGGAGCGCTGCGCGCTAGTTCCAGCAGTGTGCATATATGCGAGCGATACAACAGGGGGCTAGCCACTGAGAAGGTTCCTCCACTTCTCGCCGCCGACATCGCCCAGCACTCGTTCGACCTCGCTCTGCTCGAGGGCCAAGGCAACCTTGCGCTCCCCGAGAGGCTTGCGCAGTGCCGTAGTGCCACTCTCCATGATCAGTGCCTGGCAGGCTACCAGCGACTCTAGCACAACACCCAGCTCATGCTGTGTTGGTTGCCGCAAGTGTGTGACCTCCGGATCTTCAACGACTTTGACGTAGTTCTCGTGCTGATAGAGCACCTCCGACCACGGGATCTCGTCGACACCCTGGCGCTTGATCACTTTGATTAGCGAGATCAGCACCAGCCGCTCGTGGAAACTGCAGTCGCCGAGGTAGGCTGCAGTCGGGCTGTTCTGCATTTGCTTCGTCACTTCAAGCACATGCGAGATGGTCGTGGGCTTCCGAGCTTGGTGCGCCAGCTCGACAGCTCGTCTGGCAGAAGTGAGTGGTGCTGCTTACAGATACCCGCTGATAGTGTGGACGGACCGGCATATATCGAGGATCCGTCGAGCATCTCCACTGACATTGCTGACCCGTTTCGCTGTGAGCCGGATCGCATCCGACGCAAAGACGTCTGGTGCGTTCGCTCTCGCAATCCGTGCTTCCACGATCGTTTGCAGCTGTGCAGCTGTGTAGGGCTGGAAGTTGATCCGAGTCATTCCTGTGCTCGCTTTCAGTCCCAGATAAAACCCAGAGATCAGAGCAAACCCACCTAAGCGACTCCGCACTCGACCTGTCATAGCACGCTCCGGAAGATCCATCGTGTTTGCCACAGCCAGAACGACGATCTTGCTTCCGGCCAGCGTTGGCCAATTGAAGAAGTTGTACACCACATCTTGCTTTGCCGTCATGAGTTGGTCCAGCTCGTCCATCAGAACCACGCTGCTCAAAATTCAGCCACCTCCTAGCGAAGTGAATTGAACATCACAAACCAGGCATGGCCTCCGGGACCGCGGCCGCCTGGTCGACTGAAATGCGCCGTCAAAGCTTTCAGGCTCTCCTTCGAGCTCATGCGTAGGTGGCCTTCCTTCTCGACGTCGTGCCCGGAAACAGTCTCCCACAAGATGTTATATGCCGCAGCAGGTTCAGGTATTCGAAGGCCATTGATATCCACATATGTGAACGGGTTGGTCTCCTGTGCGATGTCAGCAGAAGCGTAATCAAATTAAACAGCCACGCACGTTGTTTTCTGCCATTCGTTTGAGCTCACGTACGACAGCATGTACAGTCGCCGTCTTTCCTGTGCCAGGGACACCGGAAATGTCTATTGGAGGGAGAGTGAGCTGCGCGCCTCGATGATCCAACACAACTCACATATACACCCCCCGCTGCCTTCCTCTAGCAGATCAGCCACCGAGCCCAGGATGCGATCGAACTCTTCCTCGCGACATGGCAGGGTGTCCGGTCGACTGCCTACATGCAGGACGTGCATTGTCCGAAGCCAGGGATCATCAGGCATATCCGCGAGAGCGTCAAACTCCAGAATACCCTTGCCGTCTCGAAATACAAACTTGCGTTTCCGGGGCGAGGCGGGGCTTGCTGTAGACTTTCCTTTCACTCGCCGTCGCTTCCTGAGAGCTGCTTTGGAGTGCGGGGTGGGTTGAACGATGGTGCGCTTCCGTTTGGGCGTCCTTGGACCGGTATATTCTATCTCTTCGTCATCATCATCGCCGTCGGGGTCGTCACTACCTCCGGCATCGCTATCTGATGCACCGTCACTCAGACCTTCATCGTCAGATTCGTCCGCACTGTCAGCTTCATATCTCGAGCGACCGGAATCGTCTTCACTGCCCCCAGATTCCTCTTCCTCCTTGATGACCGCGAGCTTCCGTTTCTTCTTGGGTGGAGCGCGATTCTTCTCGGGTTTCACGATCCACTGCTCGCCCGACCCGAAACGTTTGCTCTCCGCTTCCAATGCTTTCCGACGCATCTCCGCCCAATCGAATGTGTAGAACAATCCGCGTCGGGAATCCACTGCAGTCCTGCAGACGAACGGGCCGACCTTCTTTTTGTCTTCTGCGTAGGTCCAGCGTGAACGCTTCTTGATGGGAGATGCCTGTAGGACGGGAGGCGCAACCGTGGCAGAGATCAGACATGTGGACAGGATGCTGCTTGTGGGAAGGACTGTGTGTGATTCGAGCGAGTAGTAGAGTTCGTCCTATGAACGTCAGGAATAGGTGTATCCTCTGCAGTGGAACACACCTCGAGATGTGTGCGTTTCGCACCGATCTTAGGAAGCTCGGAAGGCCGCAAGAACCAATGTATCCTAGCGAGCATCTTGCGGTCGCTCCTCGCATCCTCACTTTCGTCCTCCTTCACGATTTCCCAGAGGGCAGTAATGACAGCGATGCTTGGCTTTTTCTCCGCTCGATACAAGGCCTCCGTCTCCACTGCCACCGCGTCGCCGACGTGGAACGTCCCAGCGGATGTACCCGCGCCGCGCTCGAAGGCGTCGTAGAACACAGCACGATATTTCAGGGCGTCCTGGTCGGGATCAAGTTCAGAAGGGTCCGTAGAATCGGGGAACGAATCGAGTTCGGGCTCTAGTGCGCGGCTGTGCACCGAGGAACCCGACCATTTGTCTTGAGGACCACGTCTCGAGGATTTGGACGGAGAAGCAATGGGTTGTCCACGCTTAGAGCGTCGTACAGGGGTCTTGGGTGTATCCAGCATTCGTGTCAGTTTGACACAGTTGATTCGGACAAGACTGAGCTTTGGAGTCACTGGCAGAGCGAGGGATTGAAGGTCTGATTCAGAGTCACGATCACATGAGCTGTGACCACCGCGTTTCTAGATCTGCCGCGGCCATCAAATGATCGGGTCACATGGGTGGGTTAGGGTCACCGCCCTGCGCGAACTGTGCATCCCCCCTTCTGCATTCGGACACCCATGGCGCCACGGATGCTGCTGGGTCTGCTTCTGAGCGCGGTAGTAGTAGCCTCGAAGAGGCCCGCAACGACATTTAGCTCAAACTCTACATCTCGCCCCGTGACGCTCTCCACTTATCAGCTTACGGTGAGCGTCTGATTTCGTACCTACGAATCATACCGTTAACATGTTGGCAGGGTCCTTCGTCCAACGCCCCTCCAGGTTCGAATCCCAGCCTGCTCACCTCCAGCTTGACTGCTCGATCCTGACGAACAGTCCAGAGAAATGCCCACCGTGCTTCAATTGCCAGCTGCCCGCATTCGCTTGCGGTCAGTACGGAGAATGTAACGAGTACGATGGGCAGTGTAAATGCCCTGCGGGATGGGGAGGCATCGACTGTCTGATTCCGCGTACGTGCTTTCGAGGTCAGACAACTAGCACTGAGCACTGACTGCATGAACCGTCTACAGAATGCGATTCGTTGGCAGACGGGGACCATCGGAGACTAAGGGAAGGGGGAGCGTGTGAATGCAAGGAAGGGTGGGGTGGGATCAATTGCAACGGTCTGTGGCTGCCTGCCCCCTTCTCCCGTCAGACGTCTGACTTGCGGACAGTGTGTAAAACGAATCAGGCCTGTGGGAGCTTCCCTGTATTGGGCGGCATACCCACCAACGATGAGGACGAGGTGGACCCGGAAGACATGCGGTGCTACACGGGTGGCGAAACAGTCTTCAATAACCACCAGATGTGCAACGTCACCAGTGCGTAGTTCCCGCTTTCGAATTATCAACAGTGACCTTATTGCCGGTAGACCGCAAGATCATTGACCAAGTGGGCGCCGATCGGCCGGTGCAAGTCACGTTCAGCTGCGATACCGGAGACAGCACTTGTGCGTTCCAGTTCTGGGTGGACCAGGTCGAGTCATTCTACTGCTCTCTGGACACATGCACGTCCTCGACCACAATCGATTACGCACGAAACACGACCACCTATGCATGCGATCACATTAAGTGCAGCTGTATCGCCAACCGCTTCATTTGCGGAGAAGACGGCAGCGTTAGTGCGTAATGAGACTGACGACGTGTCCCAATGCGCTGACGCGTCAATGATCTAGACATCGACGACTTTCTCAAGGAAGAGATCCGCGGCCCTGCTACGTTCAGCTGCAGGACCGGTGATGGATGTAGATTCGAGGAGCCGGCCATGAACGAGCTGATTAGTGACATCTTTGGTGATCCCTACATCACCCTCGATTGCGAGGGAGGCGAATGCTTGCACTTTTCGCAAGTGCCGGGTTATGTGGTATGATGTATCTCTGCCCAAACTGTCGCCCAAGCTTGATGATCCCTTCAGCGTCCTCCGAAGCCAGATAGCACCAAGTGGGTTGCACTCAGCGCCGCCGGTGCCTGTCTCGTCGTGATACTCGTCTCGGCCATACTCTGGTACGCAGGCCGGGCCAGCGGCGGCGAGTTTGGCCACATCCGTCTTGCCGATGACGAACAGTCTCGGTTGATGAACGACCATGTACCTGCGACTCTTCACTTCGAGAACCTGTCCTACACGTTGGGATCTCGAATCCTGCTCGACAACATATCTGGCACTTTCAAGCCTGGGCAGGTCTGTGCGATCATGGGCGCTTCTGGTGCCGGGAAATCGACATTCCTGGACATACTCGCACGTAAAGCGAAGCGCGGTCAAGTTGGTGGGACTAGCTATGTCAATGGACGAGAAGTGGCGAACGATAAATTCAAGGCTGTCACCGGTTTCGTTGACCAAGAAGATACGCTGATGAGCACGTTGACGGTTTATGAAACTGTCCTCTACAGTGCTCTGCTTAGATTGCCTCGAGATATGAGCCTAGAGGCCAAGAAGTTCCGCACGCTAGAGACGCTCAACGAGTTGGGCATCTTGGGTATCAAAGATTCTCGAATTGGGTCTTCCGGTACGCCTTCCATTCGTGATGAATGTAGACCGTTCTGACGTGAATGCAGACCAGCGTTCGATCTCTGGAGGCGAGAAGAGACGAGTTTCGATTGCGTGTGAGTTGGTCACCAGTCCTTCGATCCTGTTCTTGGACGAACCGACTAGTGGTGCGTGGACAGTTGACCCAGGTCCTCATGCACTAACTTACGAATGACAGGTCTGGATGCATACAACGCTTACAACGTCGTCGAATGCCTCGTCACTTTGGCGAAAAACTATAACCGCACTGTGGTATTCACGATCCATCAGCCGCGGAGCAACATAGTGGCCTTGTTCGACCAGCTTGTGCTACTCTGCCAAGGCAAACTTGTTTACTCCGGTGACTTCAACAAGTGCCAGTCGTACTTCGCGGAAATAGGACAGTCCTGTCCCCCGGGCTTCAATATCGCCGATTTCTTGAGTCAGTGAACCAACTCTCTGCAGGGACTGCGCAGGACTGATATCATCCTGTAGTCGATATGACTGTGCAAGCGAGTCTCGAAGGCGACGACAGCCCGACACTGGATGCTGAGTCTCCCATTGACGATGGAGAAAGCAGCTCGCGCGAGTCGACGGAACTGGCGACCCGGTCAGCTTCCGGTAACTTCATCAAGCGCAAGACATCGCAGCTGCTCGAGGCGATGTCGCTATCCTCCGCGCACAAGAAGCCCCATCAAGTACTTTCGGCGAAACTGCTGGAACTGGCGGCCGCGTATGCCTCTAGTTCGGTCGCTCGGGAGATTCGGATCGAGTTTGAAGTTCTCCAGCGGGCGACTGAGAGTGGGGCTAGTGCTGGCTTGTCGGGTGAGCTACCTGATGTGGCCGTTGAGACGACGTTACTGCGGGGAAGGAAACGAGCTGGGTACGGGACTCAGTTCCGTATTCTCAGTGGTCGGGCTTTCAAGAACCTGTATCGAGACCCAGCGTTACTCGCAGCACATTATGTGTCTTCCATCGGTCTCGCATGTGAGTTGCGCGCACCAGTTCGTGCGCAGAGGCTTATTCTCCATACAGTGATCTGCGGCTTGTTCTTCCACAATGTGACGTGCGTGGTTTTGAGTTTTCGGACGAGGACCTCGCTGATCCCAGCATAATAGAAACGACATTTCGGGATTCCAGAATCGACTGGGGCTGTTCTTCTTTACGCTTGCGTTGTTTGGATTCTCGTGTTTGTCAAGTCTGGGTTTGTTTGCGAACGAGCGCATCTTGTTCATTCGAGAAAGGTACGTGTGCGCTCTGCTTTTGACGTTCCGCCACTCATTGGAGCTCAGAGCCAACGGCTACTACTCAACGTTCACGTATTTCTCATCCAAAGTCTTGTTTGACATTCTGCCGCTGCGGGTGGTCCCTCCACTCGTGTTTGGGGCGATTGTGTATCCGCTGGTTGGGCTGGTGCCGAGCGTCGTCTCATTCTGGAAGTTTATGCTGATCCTGGTGCTTTTCAATCTGACGACGGCCATGGTGGTGCTTTTCTTGTCGATCGCGATTGCAAACACGAGCGTCGCGGGGCTGGTGGGGACGCTGGTCATGTTGTTCAAGTGCGTGTGGGTTTTATCCAAGCACTGTGCTGTCACTTACTTCCCGCAGCTTAATGTTCACCGGCTTGCTCATCAATCGGGAAAGTGTTCCCATAGCCCTCCGGTGGCTTCACACGCTATCGTTTTTCCATGCGGCTTTCGAGGCCTTGGCTGTGAACGAGCTGAGGTATCTGCATCTCACGGAAACTAAGTACGGGGTCGAGCTGGATGTTCCAGCTGCGTTGATCTTGTCGACGTTTGGGTTACACGCTCAGGTTCGTGGTCCTTTTTGCGGACGGCCATACATCAACTGACCTGTTTCTAGTCGTTCTGGTGGCCCAACACCGCTCTTCTCGGAATCTTTTTCGGGGTGCTCATCACCGCGTCGTATCTCACGCTGCAGTTCTTCGTGAAGGAAAAGCGGTAGTCTCCTGCGAAAAGTGGTACTGGTCGCACATGTACCCGACCCCTGCTATATATAAGACTTGATACTACGATAAAGTCACGGCTTCTGCCGTTGTATGTAATTCACTACCAGGACTGAGGCTCGTTGATGTTATCTGAGTTCCAGTCCGAATGCGAATTCCAGACTTGCCGGATCACAATTAGTTTCTTCCAGAAACGCCCACCCGGAACCCATGGCCTGTTCCATTTCATTATTACCTCATTTGAAGTCAGGATCTCTGGGGCTCAGAACCCCAGACTGATATCACCTTGACCAGACCCACGATGTCGACTCAGATGACCACCACCATCTGCTTTATCAGCCCACTCTCTCATGCTGCTACCTCGACTCCGCCACCTTGTTTCCGCACGCAGGCTTCTTTCGACTGATATCAACCGTTCCAGTGCGTTCTGTATGTTCAAAGGTGTGCAGAGCTAACCCTGCTACTATAGACATGAAGGAAGTCGCCATCTTCGCCTCTGGTGCGTCGGAGGAGTTGTCCAACTGTTCAGTCTCTAACCCTTCGCGTGCAGGCTGCTTCTGGGGCACAGAACACATCTTCCGCAAACACTACCCCCTCGAGCCCGCGCCCGGCAAAGGCATCCTCTCAACGACCGTCGGGTACACAGGGGGCAACGACCACTTCCCGAACCCGCACTACCGACTGGTGTGCACGGGCGCGACGAATCACGCGGAGGCGGTGAAGCTGGAGTACGACACGGACGTGGTCTCGTATGCGGAGCTGGTCGAATTCTTCTACCGCACGCACGATCCTACTACGGTCGATCGGCAGGGCGGGGATATGGGCACGCGTGAGTTGGCGCTCTGCTTTTTTCTTCGGGTTTGCCGCGCTCGGGCTGATATACGCACTTGTCCGGCTTTACTGGGTCCAGAGTACCGATCTGCGATCTTCACTACGACGCCGGACCAGCAGACGGTTGCACAGCGTGTCACGGAGGAGGTGCAAGCGAAGCATTTCACGCCCAAGGTAAGTTAACATCGGACCGATTGCGTTTTCAGCCCAGTCATATACATGTTCTTCGTAGGGCTTGAAGATTATTACGCAGATCGTGCCAGCCGGTCCGTGGTGGGACGCCGAGGACTACCACCAACTGTATCTTTTCAAGAACCCGGGCGGGTACCAGTGTCCGACGCACCGCATGCATTGGTGAAAGAATGCGCGCTTTGGCATGTGCTCCTCAACTTGTCGCTGGCATGGCATACAAGACACCCATCTCAGGCTCGAAATGTGGCACCTGGAAGAAAAACGCCTGACGGTGTCCGGAGACTAGGAATCGAGATATCACAGTACTTACATTGAGTCGGTTTTAAGATTTGTTTCCTATCGATAATCACATAACCTCACTGCGCCGACAGTCGCATCTGTCTCTTCTTGCGGATTAGGACCACCGAATTTACCTCTAAATCTCCTCCCGAGATAACCTCCAAACTCCCGAGATCATTGATTTGTGAACGACATTCTCTTCGTCAACCTTCAGCGAGCGCTGGGCTGTACTCCGAGTGCTGGCTGGATACCACGCGCAGCAACTTCTGAACTCATCTGCAGATGAACAGAGAAGAGAGATGGCTAAGCTTCATCGATTCGGCCCTTCGCAGCAAATGTCGGTTTCAAGAAGAAAGCCGGTCGGCCGCGCGACACATGAATTGCCCACTTTGAGGCGACTTCGGGGCGAAAGTGGGCGGACTGATTGCTTTTGGGGCCAGAAATACCAGGACCGCAGCGTCATCGCCGCGGCCAATCATGATGATGCCTGTGATAACTACACTTCGATAAGGACCTCGCAGCAGCCATGAGCATTCAAAAACCCACGCCTCCCGGCTCTGAGTCAGCTCGATTTCTGTCTTGCGATGCCAGCTCGAAAGGACGCCGTGCCAGGTCCTGAGTACCCCCAGCAGCCTGCGCCATCGCCGTCGCGTTTCGCGCGCCGGCGCATGCTCTTGCTCTTCGGTGTTGTCTCCGCGGGCGCCGCACTCTATCTTCTCGGACCCAGCTCTGTGCGGACATCGGTGAACGGCGCGATCAGCGGACATGCGCGCCATTTCGACAAGGTCCCTGGGCTTTGCGCGGACACCGCGCCGATTCCGATAACCGCCCCGCGGGAGAACGTGTGGGGGAACTTCGGCCGGGAGGAGGCTGCTGCGCTACGGGAGTGGGTCTCAACGAAGACGGAGATCGATGGGCAGCTGGTGAAGTTCACGGGGGTCATGGCTGCAGCCGACTTGTGCGCGTCCGGTTCCACTTCGGAGAGCGGTCACTGACGACATGCTTTCCAGTGATAACGCGATTCAAGTCATCGAGAACTTTCCTCCTCCGAAGGACGCTACGCTCGCGTACTTGGACGGTGCTGGTCCCGAACCTGAGCGGTTTGCCAAGGTCGGTCTCCCTCACAGTCGTCGATGCGCCCTCTAACCTCGTTAGGTAATCCTGAACCTTGGAGGTCTGTCGCCACCCAGAATTGGCAGATACTTGCTCGGACCTCTGCCGAAGACTATTTCGTCGCTCTCATTGTCCTCTCCTTCCGTCAAGCTTACTGAGCTGACCCACATCTACAACAACCGGCCGGATGTTCCTTACACGGCTCGTTTGTACACTCTCAACGGGACCTACACACAGACGTTCATCCACAAGATCCTCGGACCCATGGAACATGCTCTCATCGACCTCCTCGGCAGCTCGCTTTCTGACTCTGAGGTCGGGAATGCGCCTCCTCCTCCCGCTGGCGACGGCCGACTTGTTTTTGGTGCGAGCACACCGTTCTCTTACGACGGCTCTTTCCGTCGCATGTGGCTGCAGCTCAAGAAGAACGTCCCCGGCTCCTACCTGTTCGCCCTCGACATGTTTCTATATGTCGATACGACGTCTACAAACCCCGACGAGTGGTATCTTGTGCACATGGTATACAATAGCCAGATGTTCAAGACTGTCAGTAGCTTTCTGGAAGCATACGAGTGGGTGGTCCGGATGAAATCGTCTGCCGCACTGAAACCGTCTCCCTTGCAGTAACGGGACACTCAAGCGCTCACCAGCGCCCGAAGTTGCCAAGCCTGGTGAGGAGGGCTGGGCCGCCCGCGCTAGGAAGGGAGACAAGCGAGACCTAGACGAGAGAGCGGGGCCCCGCCAGGTGTCGTTCAATGGACCTCGATACCGGGTCGATGAGAAGAACCAGTTCGTGTCGTGGATAGGCTGGTCGTTCTACCTCAGTTTTGCGCGCGACATGGGGATGAGTCTCTGGAACATCAACTTCCGCGGCGAGCGTATCATCTACGAGATCGCGCCTCAGGAAGCGCTTGCGGTGTACTGTGAGTCGTTGCCAACTTCTCGTCGGAAGTTAGCTCCAATCCTCACCTATTCGCGCAGCCGGGAGCGATCCGCACCAGGCCAGCACTGTGTTCCTGGATGGTGGATTCGGGATGGGGACGGCGACTCGGGCTTTGTTCAAGGGATACGACTGCCCCTATGACGCGCTGTACCTACCAGCCATCACCCACGCAGAGTCTGGTACGGTTATCCGGCAAGACGCAATCTGCGTCTTCGAGCGCGACTCGAACAAGCCGATCAGCCGACACACGGGCTATCTGAAGGACGAGATGGGTGCCACCAAGGGTTACGAACTCGTCGTGCGCACCATCAGCACTGTCGGAAACTACGACTATCTCTTCGACTACACGTTCCAGCTCGACGGTTCCATCGAACTCCGTGTCTCTGCCTCCGGCTATCTGCAGGGAGCGTGGTGGGCCGAATCTGAGCACGACTACGGGACCCGCATCCGGGACACTTACAGTCAGTAGGAGAGGTCACACTGCCCATTACCCCTACTGACGCCCTTCCAGTGGGATCTCTGCACGATCATGTCATGTGCGTGGTCTACATATTTCAATGAACCAGCTCACAGAACGAACAGCAACTACAAAGTCGACTTCGATATCGCCGGCACGGCGAACTCGTTCATGGCCATCTCTCTGGAGAACGAGGTCACTTCCTTCCCCTGGTTCGAGGAAGACTGGGGCGCGGTCAACCAGCAGAAGATCGTCCGCAAGTACGTCGCAAACGAGAGCGATGCGCTGCTCGACTACCCGCATAATCTGGAGGGCGCTTTCCTCATCGTCAATAAGGAGGCGCACAACCGCTGGGGCAACCGTGAGTATACCGCATTCGTCCGGTGCTCGATGTTTGCTTACCTGTCCACCAGCTCGCGGCTACGTCGTTCACCCCGGTGTCTCTGCCATCCACATGGTACGCGGGGCCATCCGAACGCATCTCAACGCATCTCATGTATGACCCGCAGACGAACCTCGACAACAAGCGCACGGAACATAATGTCAACTTTGCCAAGCAGCAGTTTGCTGTGTCGGTCCGGAAGGAGACGGAGCCCAGCGCGTCGTCGCTCTGGAACATCAACCTTCCCGGAAAGCCTCCGGTCGACTTTTTCAAGTTCTTCGATGGGTGGGTGTTGTTCTCAGATGGATGTGGGAAGCTCCTTTACTCAATCGACGCAGCGAGTCCCTCGACCAGAAGGATCTGACGACTTGGATCAACTTGGGCATGCACCACATCCCGAGGGCAGAAGATTCCCGTGCGTGCACCTCGTTTCGCTGCTCCCGCGCGCGCTAACATCATCCACCTTCAGCGATGACGCTTACGAACCTGGCAACCTCGTCCGTGCTGCTGTCGCCCTTCAACTTCAACGACTGGGAGGTCTCGATCGAGAGCATGAACGCGATCGTGTACAACGTCCCCGAGCCCGGGCAGCAGTGGTCGGCCGACGAATACGGCGTCGAGATCGAGTACTGCTTGCCGCCTCCTGTCGCACAGAACTCCGTGCGTGTTACTTTTATGTGCTGCCCTGCATCTCATCTGCTTGATAGTACCCGGGCTTGCATCTCTTCGAAGAGGACGGCTCGCCTGCGAAACCGGAACGCGTCCATGCTATGCGCCAGCGAGGTCAGCTTTTCCTTTGTGTACTCGCGGAAGCAACGGTATCTGAATGTATCCCAGCGGAGAGCTATCACGCGATTTTCGCGTCGAGCGACTTGTAGAGCGAGGGTGTCGTGTGTCGTGTGTGATCGGTTAGTAGGAAGGGATGGTAGGGCTCCAAAGGCTCCTAGCTATTGTATTTAGAGGGCCCTACAGAGCATTACCGGCGCGAATGGGGCGCTAGGGACGGGCTTTAAAAGAGTCGATAGAAGACACAGTCACGTGTACATCATCCGTAATCCACGTGCAAACTCTCTGCCTAGCACCATTTACTACCGTCCACTCTACAGGTGCGTCGAGCAGGACTCGGGATAGAACTATCAGCTTTACGATGCAGCAAAGATAGGGAATACCCGCATTGCGACACCTGTCATTCCCCCGCGATGAAAGACAGTCATGAATAGGAGACCATAGTCCCCGAGGAGCATCCTGTAACTCGCGCCTATCATGCATTCTTTCGGACACATCCTCAGTCTACTCCAGCTATGCACACTTATCCTCGCCAACCCAGTCTCCCCTCTCCGCTGCTCGTCCAGCAACGACCACCTCGACCCCGCGTCGAAGAAATTCATGTCGGACTGCAGCGACACGACCTTCTGCTCCGGCACAAATGTATCCACGTCCACATGCATCCCACGCCAATGCCGCCGCGACGAGTTCCCGTTCGGTTTCCCCGCCGACGCGGCGCTCCCGCCCATGTGCCCGCGCGGGTCGTTCTGTCCCGACGAGGGCAGCGGATGCCGGCCGCTGGTCAGTGTGGGTGGAGCGTGCCAGCTGAATCGGGACGAGCAGTGCGCGCCGTCTCCGCCGCCGCCTCCCTCGGTGGGGCAGCAGAACTCGCTCTGCCTAGCGTCGATCTGCACGTGCGTGACAGTCGACCACGCGTCGTTGCCCCAGGCTCAAGGCAGAACTGAACGCCACACAGGTACGCCAATGCGACCCTCGGCGACCGCTGTACCTCCGACGACACGGTCTACACCGACGTCGCGCCTGATGGGGAGCCGGTCTTCACGACAGTTACACGCGACAACTGCCTTTCCCCGACGCTCTACTGCGAGAGCGGGACGTGTAAGCCGACGCTGGCCCTCGGTGCGTCCTGTGTCAACGACCGTCAATGCACCTTGGTGGGTGTTTTCTCGCCGGACTGCGGTCTAAGACGCTGGGCTGAAGTTTCTGATTGTGCACGCAGATGAACTGTGTCTCTGGGGCATGCGCGAGTGCACCAGAGACCCCGCTGCGCATCGCGCCGTGGCAGAGCGCCCTCACCGCATCGGCCATCGTCGCAGGTAGGTTGGCGTTTCGCTTCGTTTCGTTTGACCCCGCATGACGTTCACCATCCGTGTATGCGCAGCCGTGATCACGATCTGCATGTCCCTCACCATGATCCACAAACGCCATGCTCTGGACCAGTCGAGGGCATTACACGATTATCTGTATCAGCAAGCGAGGTGAGTTGAATTGTACATCGCATCTCGCAACCGAGTCTCATGTGTAAACAGGTTTCGCCATTCTATTGCGGCGTTGCGTGCCGAAGAAAAAGCGTATGTGGCATGCGGCGAGATATCTGGTTGAATTAGATGGGTTGTTTCTATTCGGGACGCGATATCGCGGCGATAACACTTGGACATAAATGAGTGAATGAATTGGATTGATGGTGAAGCGTGTGTACCACTGAAACTGTTACAAGGTGGAGTAGCAGGAGAACAAAGAAGCAGGGATCGAACAAAGGAGTGTATGCGCGAACGAAGGAAGAGACGGATGACCCGGATGGACACAAAGTATCCGTCGATTAGTGGGGAGGGGATCCCGCTCTGGACTTCTCTATCCCTTGGATTGTCCCCTCCAGCCCGACTACATCGATGCGCATCTCGTCCAGCTGCTGCTTGAGACCGTTTACCCGCTTCGTGAGGCTCTCGCAAAACAATTCTATGCTGTCGACTCGACCGTTGAGTGTGCCCGATGCGAAGCTGAGGACGTGGTGAATCCCTCCGACGTATCCTGGGATAATAAAAACGAACTTGACGCTCTGCGGCGAGTCTGGGACATCCTCGTCCTCCCCTCGTTCAGAAACACTGCCGGGCTCAAGCATCAGAGCTCGGTATGCGGACGCGCGGGGGAACGACGAACGTAGAGAGCGGACTGCGCGGACTCAGCACCGCACAATTGTCGTATTCCGCCTCCTCTGTAACAGGGATCTCCGGGATGACAGCCAGTGAGAAGCTCGCGCGGCTGTGCCGACTCAGTCGCACGCTTCGCCGGATGATGCACCAGGGGGCAACTTACAGTCGACGCGGGGACCTGGGCGGCTCTGGCCCGAGGCCCGGCGGCGGGAATGGAATGCGGGTGAGGGACATGAGGAGGGTGGGAGGGCAGAAGAAAGCGAGGAACTGGGCACCGATATAGGGACCAGACAAGCCCGGGTTGGAGCGAAGAACACCCATGCCGGTCTCTCCTGAAAGTCACAATAGCAAGGGGCTGCCGCATTAGGCAGCTCAGTTGCTAAATCGGGATGAGCCAGGAGGGCGCTGGCGCGCGAAGAATAGGCACCGGGCCGAGAATTGTTCTAATGTCCAGTACACATGGGATCACGCAAGTATGAAACGTACGAGCAAGAACGTGATAGGTAGGGCGAAGCCAGTGTCGGTTCGATCAGATAGATAGATTTTGAGACTCAAGTTTATCCTTCCAACAACACGGGCTCTCAACGAGGCGATTTCTTTCCGCAATCCAAGCGCGCTCGAGGCGGCTTTGTCACGTTCATTCATTTTTTTTAAATATTTCCATTCGTGATGTCATAACAGAATTGAGGTCGACCCAGAATCATAAGCGTGCCGAAGACGAAGACTGAACGCGGACAAGAGAGCTGGGGAGCCCAGATAGTGTACAGTGAGAGAATAGATGATGATCGGGAAGCTAGTAGACATAGCGGAAACTGAAAGAACATGTAGTCAGCGAAAGAAAGGCGGATCGGACACTCGACTCACTTGGGGTTCTGCTTGTCCGTGAGATCCTTGAATGTTGTCTCGTTCTCCTCGACAACCTTGCCGTTAGCGGCAGCCTGCTCCCGCTTCCTGTTCTCCCGTGCCAGGATAACCCGGAGCACAACGAAGATGCAGAGCTCAAGAATGTTGGCGACGAGCATGCTGCCGATGCCGAGGTGGTACGTCGGCGCCTGATTCGAGTGGTAGAAGAACGGAGACGCGATATTGCCGACGCAGGCGCCGAACCAGATCAGCGCATTCGTCAGCATCTTCTTCGTTTGCCCTCCGGTGTTCGAGGTGATGATGGACAGCGCGATCACGAAGGACGTCTGGTAGCTGCCGGTAAGGTAGTAGCACACCAGACGGCCGCCGCTGGCGTGCACCGGGGCGAGCAGGAATCCAAGAGAGCCTGCAATGGTGGGAAGCATGAATAGCCTACCGGTGTGGTCAGTACGAGGAAAAGCGCCTGAGTTGTATTCACAACTTACATGCAGATGTACGTCCTGCTGTTGGGAGGAAGACGAGCATTGAGATAGGCCCCGAGGGAGATCCAGATGACGACGAGCGCGCCCTGAGGCAATCCAAGTAGTGTCGTCTGCCAAGTGTTGAAGCCGAGACCTTGGATGATGAGCGTGCTGAAGTTGCTGATCCCACCGTTGGGGATGTTGCCGACAAAGCCGAGCAGAAGGAAGAGCCACTACAGAAGGAAGTGAGTCGCATGAAATCAACTGACCAGCGATAACCTACAGTCTTGACATCGAGCATGCACTCGATCGCCTGGTCCATCTTGAACTCACGGTTCTCGATACCGGTCTGGTTCTTCCGGAGGCGGGCGACGGCCATCAAGCGCTCCTCGCGCGTGAGCCAGACCATCGACACAGGTGAATTCGGAAGACGCCAGAACAGCCAGATCGCCCAAGTGGAGCAGATCGCGCCGACGATGATAAACTCGTATCGCCAGCTGGTGAGGTCGCCCTTGATTTTGCCGATGCCGTAGCCGAGCAGGCCACCGATGCCGACTCCGACTCCGTTGAATGCATACCAGAAGCTGATCCGGCTTGGCTGTTCCTCGCGCGTGTAATACATGCCTGAGTATCATCAGTACTAGCAGTAGCGCATATCGGGGACCACGGACTAGTCATTAGCATGAAAGCTGGATCAGCAATGGCTTCGAAGGCCCCTGAGATGACACGCAAGGCAGCGAGGGTTGCAAAGTTGTGCGACACGGCCTGGAGCATGAGGAACACGCCCCAGAAGAACACGTTGATGGCTGCGTTCGGTGAGTCCTTGTCAGGGGGTTGTGCAGAGACACACACCAAGATAGGTGGCCGGGGGGCATTTCTGCATGATCAGATTCGAGGGGATGGACCAGGCGAGCCAGCCGAAGTAGAAGATACTGGAGAGCCAGCTGTACTCCGTCCCGACGAGTCCCAGCCCCTTGGGCTTCGCAGCCTTGATTCCAAAGATAGCAGCCTACGGAAACAGCATCAGAAGGCGTGTATGTGCCAGGCATGCGGCGTACATAGGAGAGTGTTGTTTTGTCCACATAGTAGAACACATCTGGAGCGGTCGAGTCAATCACGAGCTGGCGCCACTACGCGCTGCGACACGCACATCCCATAGCCAAGCACGGCAACACCACCCAGTCGATCTTGCGCACGAGCCGCCGCTCTGCCTCGGGCGAAATCGCGCCCTCCGCGCCGTACTTGGCGAGCGCCTCGTCGTAGAAAGCGTCGTTCGAAGCGTCCGCGCGGCCGAAGAACCGTTTGCGCCAGGTGATACGCTCATCGGAGACTCCGGAGTAGTTCTCCACCATCACATTCTGTTCCTTCTCGCGGTCCGATGAGGTGACAGACATCTTCAGGAAGGATGGCTGGCGTGTGGGGAAACCGGAGACCTGGGTGTCGGTGTCAATATCCCCCCGTGGGGAACTATTTAAATGGGTCACACGCTCGCCTGAGAGCGGTCCGTTGCCGGTCCGGCGCTGTTACCGCGTAGTGTCTTGGATTATTCGATTCAATAGTGCCTGATGGGAGCCAAGCTCGAGCGCGATCACAGCAGAACTGTCCGGAAGGCGTGTATGTGTGCGCCGACAGAACGACAATCTGGATTTCGCCTTTGAGTGACTGACGGCGTCCAGGGGTGCCAGTCACATCTTGAGCTCGAATCTTTCGAGGACCATGTGCTTCAGAAGCGGAGGTAGGGGATTGTAAGAGGATACTCAAACGATCTCGAGGCTGAACTTTGTCGTCGTGCCATACTTCAAGTTGGAAGAAAGGTCGCGCAGTCACGTCACTCTACAACTACTCGCGGTCACGTGTTTGCGATGCATGTTACAGTCGATGTCACGTTCCGTACACTCTTGCAGACGTGGAGTCGAAACATGCAGTGTAAGTGAAATCCTCTAGAACCTACTGACCGCGTCATAAATCCATCTGCTGTGAGACCAACATGCGTCCTGCTCCATCTTCTGTCTGGCATCTGGAAGCGCGGCGCCCTAACGACGACGACCTTGTCAAGGTATATATATATACACATACATATTCACGAGCGTCCAACTTTTCATCCTCGCTTGTTGTGTGGATCCGATGTTCAGAGTGTGGTCTGAAGCAATGACTGGAACCGCAGAGAGCTCAGGGCTACTGGGTAATTCACTCTGGGAAGAGCTCATGCGGTGGTAGAGTGATAGAGACACTATTCTATGCTACCCGCCCAACTCTATTCCGTGCAGTAGGCTCCAAAGGCACGCGCTTCCCTGGCCCTCTCTTCGGAACCTTCCCTGTAGTCCTAGTCCAAAGAGAAATTGGGAGAAATTGTCGAGGTCATCGCGAATGAGAGAAGCCGACGAGGAAAGTGTTCGCTGGTATCCACAATGAGCATCCGTTGGTTCCAGCTGGTTGCATATTGCGAGGCCACCGTCCCTCATTCTCGACATGATGGGAAGTGGAGCTCCGGTGACATGCCGCTGCAGCCGGTAGGCGTGACTCACCTTTTTCCCAGCTACCCGCGTGCCCTTGCACTATATCCCACCGACGCAAAAACAGCTCCTCGTCAACATGAACCGCAACGGCGCCTCCACTAGTGAAATTGTGTACCTGACCAGCTTTGGCTCTTGGTAGTACATTGTAGTAGAGGACAAAAAATTGAGTTGCACTCCACAAAATTAACACGCTTGCCCAATGGCCCCATTTGCACAGCGGCCCCACCCGGCAACAGCGGCATGTCACTGGAGCTCCACTTCCCATCATGTCGAGAATGAGGGACGGTGGCCTCGCAATATGCAACCAGCTGTCAAGCGAAGTCAGGGGCTAGTCATCCCGAACGGCGTCTCGGATGGTTGATCAATTCAGTGCCAAAAGGGGGCTCGGTCCGATCATATACGCCGCAATCGGACCGTCCTAGCCGGAAGGTGTCCGCTTGAGTCACTAGTGCTTTCGACACAGGAATCAGTTCAATCTGTGACGCGTGACGAATACGTAGATATCCGTTCTGCCTGCTCACCCACCCCAGGGACCTCCAATTATTACGTAAAATGGCTTCGAGGCCCCCTCCGGAGGCCATCAAACCACCCCCTACCCCCCCTGATCGGAGGCCATCCTGGAGGCGCCTTCCTAATTGGGACGCTGCCTGGCCATTTGTCCACCGCTTGCATGGTATGCTAGGGATCAGCCTGAGTGCTGATATATGCTGTAGTAGTCATTATAAAGCCTCAGACAATGTCTGACCTCTCAAAAGCATGTATTTCTTGCTTGCAAATGGCAGACCACTGGGTGCACAAAATTTGGGATCTGAGTATGTGAGCACTCCTCAGGTGCATAGAGCAACAGTATATGTATTAATTCAAGATTGAGCATGAGGTAGCTGTGCCCACACGCAAAAAATGAGATGTTGCTGAAGGGATGGTTTATGGCCTCCATGACCTCCCAGGTGCAGAAAAAAAGGTGTTGGGTAGCCCACAGGCCCTTGAATTCCGCTTCAATAGAACAATTTGATGCTTATGCTTTGTCAAAACAACAGCTCAGCATATAAATTGGATGTTGGAGCAGTGGCAGAACAAGCCTCCACCACCTCCAGGGCTGGGGATCAAAAGCGGTTACTGTAGATTTAGCCACACAAACTGTGTTCATGACATTATTTATCTTCATTGAGATGCACAGGATCCTTTAGAGTGATAGCTCAACATGTGAATTGGATGCTAGAGCAGATTACAGAAAGGCTCTCCACAGCCTCCACAGCCGGGGACTAAAAGCAGTTTCTTTGGATTTAGCAGCAGAAACTATGTGTTCAATGTCAGGTGTCTTATTTGAATGCCAAGGGTCCTCTATGGAGACAGCTCAGCATATGAATCAGATGCTGGAGCAAATGGCAGAACTGGCCTCCACCGCCTCCACAGGTTATTACTTGAAGAGTTGGGATGAGATGACAATGTAACAGACAGATATTCTCCTGGCTGACCACATTCTGTCATTTCCACCTCTAAATGCGAGTTGAATTGCTGCAGAATGTTAAAATGAGAGAATGGGGGACCCTGGAGGCGCTGGAGGCACATGCAAGATCCAATCAATATCATCAATATCATCAATGCCATCAATAGCATCAATAGCATCACCAATCATTGGTAGATTGATCAGCCAATCAGATGATGAATAAACATCAAACATCTAGTATATTCATTCCTGAGAGACACA